TAGAGAAACAAATACCAAAATTGTAGTACCCAGTCATAGTAACTAAACAGGCAAGAACTTTCAGGTTGGGAGCCTTATCTGGTTAACTAAAAATTAATTTGCTATCATTTTGACAACAGTGATTATCACTTAACCAACCTAATAAAAATTGTATAAAAAAAAAAATGCCAAATATCAGGCAAATACACAAATTTATTTGTACTGGGTTACTTATTTTTGCATATGAAATTTCTCTTTTACTATCATTAGTTATTATGACTACGACGTCACTTACGGTTTCTTTTTTTGTATTCAAGTTATACTCTGTAATTACGTATCCGAATGCACATATATATCTGTTGATCTATATGCATGATAAATTTATATGTGAAAAATAACCAAAATTTGATGAATAAACTACACAGACCAATCAAAGTTAAAATTTAGCCGTGGCTACCACTGTTACTATTGTAAATCAGGAGAGTAGTAGCATTGCATAGTTTAGTTCCAATAGTTAACGTCTAATGGTCTAATTACTATTATGGGAAGTAATATAGAGGGAATTCGGTATACGATTTATGATTGGAGCAACAATAGTTAATCGGAAGGAGTAGTAGTTTAAGGATGATCGGGATGGATTTAATTAAGGGTGCTTTAGTCTTAATGATATTTTAAGAGTGATCTAAATAAATAATCGTAATAGTTAATTAATTTTATCACTAAGCGATTAAGTGTTCAGAGTAATATTTCTATAGGTTATCCTGCATAAGTGTATTATACTTTATAAACTATACAACTCTATATTAAATATGGCTCTTGGTTATATAGAAAAAGGTCTATTCAGCCTCAATGCTTACTTCCTTTATGTTAGCTAAGAGACATAGCATATATTTACATGCAAAAACAGTTTAATAAATAAGAAAACAATTACTTATTAAGCAAAGTCAGGTAAATTAATGTTTAGGATGATGTAGAGATGTTAATGATTTATTTATTTAAAACTTTTTTAGTAACTTTCTTTGTAACTGATTCTTTTTGGAAAGATGAAAAGGACCTATATTTATACAATTTTATTCACAAAGACTATACTAAGGAATTATAAAAGCATTTTGAGATCTTTATAAGCAGTTGCTTACTTCTTTCTGAACAGTTGTCACATCCATACTATAGTAGCACAAAGCTACACTGTTCATAGTACTAAATTTTGTACTTATTCGAATATTTGGCTTGGCATTAGCTCTAACTGTTCATTCAAATGTTTATGTACATAACTACCATGGTTCTTAAATGTAAACAAGAGCATAAAAAGAACGAATTATAAACAAATAACTATATACAAATATAACTATATAGTAAAAAGGCTATATAAATAAATAATTAAAAATAATTAAAAATAAGAAAACTCGTAACTTGAAGCAGAGTAGAAATCTACAGTCTAACATATTTCCTTTCTTGAACTTGAGTTTCTGTAAAAGTTTTATAAAGTGTAAATAAGTTTAATTCCTCTTGATCTTTTATAGTTTTTGTCTTATCAACTAATTTCTTAAAATCTTTTTCATATATTTTTAATAGAATATGGGTTGTAATATTTTCTGTACTAAGAAGATTTGAAGTGTTATGAAAAGAATATAAGATATAAGTACAGAAAGATGTTTTCCAAAGGTTTCTATGTCTATTCAAAAATTATTCTTGAGGAATTTTTCAAACTGCATCTTTTCAATTTGTATTATTTATTTTCTCTTTCAAGAAATAGAAATTTGATAAGTTGACTGTTAAGTTCTGTGAATTTCTCTTTAGTTTCACACATAGAATTCTTATTTGATCTTCCTAATATTTGCTTATTATTATTTCTAAAGATTATAGAATTATCTCATTTCTTCATAAATCTTTAATAAAAAGTGGTAATTTTTCATATATTCGTTAGGCTTTCATAAGAACAGATGATAGTTGAATTTAGTTTCTGGATTATGTTTACTTGCATAGCTTATTCTTTTTTCTGAAATAATAAAAATTTCTTTTATTACTTCATTTTAGACTTGTCTTTATAATAACAATAATGTTTTCTTTATGCCACAGAGGATTTTTAAAGAATTCATATTGAATCTAGCTGGAGTCCATTCTAGTTTGGTTAGTAATTAATAAAAAAATTTATTTTTTTTTTATTTTATTTTTTTTTTATGTTTGTATTTTCTAAATATTTATTTGTTTTCTATTTTTTTTTTTTTTTTTTTTTTTTTTTTTTTTTTTTTTTTTTTTTTTTTTTTTTTTTTTTTTTTTTTTTT